CCGGGCAGAGCCCGGGGGGCAGTGTGTGTCTCTAATTTAGCATCGATATTTCCAAATAATCCCTATCCAAGCTGCTTATTCCTCCTCCTGGCCCTGCAGTCATGTTGGAGGAGCCGACCAACCTTAAGCCAGCGCAAAGGGAGCTTTCATGGTGACTACTGGGATATTTTAAGGGTGCTGAAGAATAACTGAGCCTGGATGCCCTTTAGAGCGACTCTGGTTTACTTTGCTCCTGCTGCTAAGGTTCCTTCTTTTCCTCCTTAGCTGCTTCGGACAGAGGGCAAGAGGATGAACCGGCAGGCAGATGCAGTGGAGAAGAGGGGGCCGTATATCCTGAGCAAGCAGCCCTCCATTCATGCCAAGCTGCGTAAGTGACGGTCTGGACCCCCGCAGGGAGGTTTGGGGATGTGTGTGCACCTCTTGCAGCACAGACCTCGCCCTGGTCCTTGTTCTCCCTTGGCCATCTGGGGAAAAGAACCTGGGTCTTGGCACATGCTGCTCCCCAAGGCGTGTGCTGAACTGCAAGGGACTTGCTCTGTGGGCTGCCTTATTCCATCTCAGTCAGGGCTTAAGCTTTGCTTTTAAGCAGAAGCGGTTGCTGATTACCCCTGTCCCTTGCAGAGCTCATGTTGTGGAGAAAGAAACGCTTGAAGTTGCCCCGCTTGGTAATTGCATGTAGCACCTAGGGAAAAGTTTCTTTTGCTCTGATGCTACAAACAGATGCTTTTCTTTAGGTGGAAAAAAAAAGATGCTTTCTGAGTTCTTCAGCTGTGACAGGATTGGAATTTCTGCGGCCAAATAAGTTGGAATAAATGCAGTTTCCCCCTGCTGTCTTGCCTGGCCTGTCCAGCAGCTAATTCTCGCCCCAGAATGGTGCTGTTAAGTTACCAGGGGAGGGGCTCTGAGCTTTGACTARCCTAGGGCTCCTCATAGTGCCTGAGAAACATTTCAGAGCGCGAGTATCGAGCAAGGGTGACCTTAACAGAGAAGAAACATCTTGAAAACCTCCTGATAGTGTCTGCCCTCTTGTTCACTCTTTGTATGATTTGCAAATCTGAGGGCTTCCAGTGKTAATGCCCATCAGACACCGTCTCCTCCTGCCCCCACAGCTAGCTGGCAGTGACACTGGTCTCAGCCAGAGCCCCCGGACTCTCTAAAGGAAGTGTTGCTAAGTTCAGACTCACTCTTGATTGCTCAGCCCAGCATTCCTTGCCTTTGGCTGCCCTTTGGAAGAGAAAGGAAGCCAAATCCACGGACTGATCTGTYGCTGCATGCCTAGCTGTTGGGAGATGGATGATGGAGAGCTCAGCTCCTCATAAATGCAGCAGCACCGCTTCTCGGAACTGTGTGGTCTGTTAAASGCTCGAACTAGGCTGTTGCAGTGGCTGGGGGCCAGCCCTGGACTATGCTCCGGGGCAGGCACTGCCACTCCCACCAGCCGTTGGGAAGCGTGGATGTCTCTGGGATTTTACAGGCTTTGTTCTGCAGGTGACTGTRCTCTTCTCTTGCAGGGAGCAGAGGCAGTGGGATAGATGATCCCAAGCTGGTTTGCTCCCCTCTTGGCACGGGGAGTTGCAGTTTGGTCTTGCTCAATGTTGGAGCAGAAGGAGTTAGGATGGGATTAGCGCCTTTAGGTTTGCACAGCCGTGCTGTGCACAGTCCACACATACAGGCAGCAAGGTCAGCTGCTGCTTTTGCCCTGTCAAAGCGATAGGGGCAGGCACTGAGGCTCGAGGTTGCCCCTCTGGACCTGTGCCTGCTGTGAGCCCGGGGATCCGCGAGTACCTGCAGCCCTGACCCCTTGTTCGCTTTGCAGAGCGGCAGCGTGAGCTGGCGAAGGCGGCGCTGCGGAGGCAAGGCCTGCTGGGGGGAACTGCTTCACACCCACCGAAGGCAGCGGCGAAAAGGTCTGGTTCTGTTTTCTCTTCCTTTACCAAGGCTTTTCCCTCAGACCTGATCTGTCTCTTGCTGGACACATTCCCTCCAGGTCAGGGCACGCTGACCTGGCCCTGGTTTCCACTAGCTGCGTGAACACGAGATGTTTCAGAAATGTCCTATGACTGGGGTGACACGAGGCGCAGGTTTACTAAAAGACAACTTCATATCAATCCCCATCCTCTCTGCACTCTCYCCTTAATCATATCCCATCACCTTCATAACATATATAAAGAGTATAGAGCAAGAGCGTGTGTGCCCCTGCGTGATACACTGACAGTTTATAGAGGGCAGTGAGTGGCAGTCCAGGAGCCAGGAATGGTTGTGTTTTCATGGCTGTCCTTGGCTACTGGATAGGCTGAGCCTCAGGGAAGGAGGCACCAGCAAAATACATCTTGTTCCTGGAGACTGGCTGGGGCTGCTGCTGGGCTTGGCCGTTGTGATGTGGCTGGTGGGTGGTAACCTGATCCACAGACTTCTGCTTTCTACCGTGCTGAATGTCAGGCTTTGGAAATCTGGTTTGGAGTAAAGGATTTGCAGGGCAGAGGAAGCTGAGAAAGGCTGCACTGCASGCGTCAACCCACATGCAGAATTTGGGAATTGTTCTACCGGGGTCTGCATTTGTTCCGTGTGTTCTGGAGATGCTAAGGGTTTGAGCAGGTAGCCTAAGCAGAGAGCTTGAGGATGGAGTTAATTCTTAGCTGGTGGTATCCCTGGATGGTGTGTTATAGGGGCAGCATAGCTCAGTGTTTAGGTGGCAAAGGATGTGCGTGGCATCTGGCACAGGGATTCCTGCTCCATCAGGTCCGTGACTGCATTTTCACAGCAAAGGGTGTATTGAAAGCTCACTTATCTGCTTTTCTTGCAGGCCAGTGAAACTTAAGGGCTACACGGCGCTCAGCCAAGTGCCTGACGAACACTTGGTATCGCTCGACTCGGACAGGTGAGGGCTCTGTCTATATTCCATGCTTGTGCTGTGGGTTGGGTGTTTTTGCAGGATGCAGATTGCATGTTGAATCCAAGCCGGCTGCTTGCTGATGCAATTCTCTGCGTGCAGGAGATTAATGGCTTTGAAAAATGTAGTGGCCTTTCTCTGTGCTGGGATCTGCTGAAGAAAATGGCACTAAGGGAGCTGAGTAGACTCTGCTAAGTCAAAGGAGCTGGTGTGTCCTGAAAAGCAGACTGTCTGCAGGCTATCTGCAGCTGCTATCTGTAAACCTCCAGATAAAAAAAAAAAAAAAATAGAAATAAATCCCTTGCCTTTTATGTGTTTGATTTGCTGTGTCACTTGTAGTGCAAGGCCTGTAAAGGTGCAGAGGATTGGACAGCTGTGAGCAGTGAAATGCTTCCATTGCCCCGTATTTAACAGAGGATACTTCCCTTGAGTTTTCTTTGTCATCCTTTGAGATTATGCTGCCAGCTCCCATTGTTTGGAGAATCCCTTGTCTGCTCATCCAAGCAGAGACGCAGCTTCCCTGCCAAGCCCACACGTAGCCCTGTGCTTCGGGAGCCGGAGCAGCAGCGAGTTACGCGCCACAAGCCTCCATTTCGCTCTGACCGTTGCCTTCTTCTCTTAGTGACGGGGAGTTGGAATCAAGATGTTCCTCTGGCTACTCTTCCGCTGAGGCAAGTTGAGGTATTTCACTCCTATCTCACCGTATGGTTCCCATGGGCTTCCTTGCTGCAACTGCATGGCAGAATTAGGGTACGCCTGTGTTTTGGGTGCCTAAGAGCAATGTCAGTGATAAACCCAGAGCTGTCRCTGTTCAGACTGTTCAGGCACAGTCTTAACAGTAAGAGTGAGGGGCTCGTGTCTGGCCAGAGCTGTTCTTCTCCGTGAGTCCCCTCCAGCCTGGAGCGTTAGCTGAAGCTCATCAGCCTGCTTTGCAAACAGCTGCTGCTGCTTGACATTCAGGCAGCAAAAAAGAGAYGTGTGAAGCTCCCTTCTGCACTTTGCAGTTATATGTTAGTGCTTCATCCTTTGTGCCTAAAGCTCTGTCTCCTTCCAGCCCCCAAAGCACTGCAGCTGACGAGCGTGGTTTGTGAGGAAGGGGTTGCAGCTGCAGTCCTGCTGTGTGCAGGGTGCTGCAGCCCGGGAGCTAGAGATCTTTGATCTTTTGCTTGTCTTCTCTGCTCTAGCTGTGGTGCTTTTCCTTGTGCAAAGCTGCTGGGAGCAGCCCTGAAGGGAGAACTCTGTTCTTTCTCTCTTTCTTATTTCTTATTTATTTATTTATTAGCAGTCTTGCCTCTGTGGGAGTGCATGGGATTAGCCTTGGGAGGTGAATTTTAACTGTTCTTTTGCTTTCACTTAGAGGCTTGCAGACTTCTGGAGGTTACGACCCTGCTTTTAATCGCTGTAATAACGCAGCTAGTTTTTGAGGTCGCATGGACTTATCTAAAATCTGTTGGCCTATGGCTCTGCTCAGTCACTGCACTCTGGCAGCTGGTGCTCCGGTTTCCTCCCCTCTTCTCCCCCGAGCTGTCATAYGCGAGCGTTTCTGTCCTGCCCCAACCCACTGATGAGAATGGAAGTGACGCTGACTGACAGGTGCCAGTCTGGGAGTGCTGAGCAGGCATTGTACAGCACACGGAAAGYTTCCCCTGCACGGACGGGTGCTTTGAGTCACATTTTGCTGCTTTCAGTACACATTTCTACAGCTCTATCTCCTTTGTCCTTTCCCAGCAGGTAAACCAGGATCTGAGCCGGCAGCTGCTGCAGGATGGCTACCATCTAGATGAGGTCCCGGATGATGAAGACCTGGATCTCATTCCCCCTAAACCTGTTGCCTCCTCTTCTTGTCCGTGTTGCTTTGGAGACTCTCTGTCCTGTGTGATCCAGTAGGTGCTGCCCGGTTGGGCTGAGCGGAACAGGTCGTGAGCCAGCACTCCTTTGTCCCTTGGGGTGTTTGTGAGTGTCAGTGTCCCACACTGGGACAGTGACTCAAAAACTGGATGCTGCTACACTGCTGTGCTGCTGCTCTTGGGGAGCAGCAGCAACTGACCAACCCCAAACTTTTTGTTATGCATTAGCAATATATAGCAGAGATTGCACAGCAACGGCTAGCCTGCCTGCATGACACTTTGCCAGGCATGAGAAGCTCTTAGTTGAGGTGGGGAGAAAAAAAGAAATAGAAGTAGGTGGCCTTCTGCTTGTACTCATGGTGAGGGTGAACTGCTGYTGTGCAGGAGCTGCCAGCCCCACATCAGCTCTGGAGATGGAGGATTAARGAACTCAGTTATTAGGTCAGGCACTAGCCTTTCCCTTTTCTGTGGAGATGACTGAAGAAGCCTTTTCTATTTATTTATCTTATGCTCAGCACAGTTAGCTCTCCCCAYGGCTGCATGAGGTTGAAGCACAGAGGTCAGAGTGCTTGGGAAGTGCTGCTGCAGGAGAGCTGCTTAATTAATGCACTTAATGCTGTGTGTAAGTGCTGCTGGCTTTCCTTCTCCCAAAGGCTGGACATGCTCAACCAAAGATTGCTGCTGTCAAAGTGGCTCTACTTGGCCTGGTTGTCCCTCAGACACGAGCAGTTATTTTTTGTAGAAGGTATTTGCTGTGCAGGAGGGTGACCAGGGGTGACCAAAGCCTATCTGCTTTGGGCTGGAGTATGTGCGTTTTCTTTCTTATTAGATACTTGCAGAAAGGGATGAAGCTGTGCAATATCTCTGCAGACCTGTTTTGTTTTCACTAGCAACTGTAGGCTGTAGCCTCYAGGTCTGCGTATCTGTCACAGGGAACACTTCTCCGCCTGTATCGCTGCYGTTGGTGGTCATGGATCTGAGGACAGCCGAAGGATCTGGAGCAGAGACAGTGAGTGAGGCCTTTGTGGTAATGCTGCAAGGGCAATGTCCTGAGCATAAGCAAATGACTCGGGAGCAGCGTGTCCCGCTGCTGACAGCCTGCCTGGCACATGACACCATCTGCTATTCGTGCTCCTCTCCTTGTCTGAGGGGCTCCAAGCACTGTATTTATGAAGTGATTTATATTTTTTCCCCTTGGGCCCCTTCCCAGCTGCAGCCCTAGCACAGCTTGACTTTCTCCTTTCCATTCCCTTCCTTCCAGGGCAGCCCTCTTGCAGGGCAACACACTGTTTGGAGGCAGAGAACGGCAGTGTTGCGTGAAAAACTATCACAGATTTCAGTTTTCTGCATAGAAATCTGCTCTTTTACCRTAAGGAGAAGCACATTGGGGTCAGTGTGCTAATTTGGCACCAGGGCAAAGGCTTACAAAGGATGTTTTCATATTGGTGCAGGGGAATTATTTTAATAGAGCCATGCAACTTGCAAGTAGGATGTGTGCTTTGGGGTCTGATTCTTTGGTGTTTGACCTCTGCCTTGCCTTTGCTTTACTGAAACAGGGAGTTGAAAAACATTGTGCTCACCTTGTGTTAGACCTCAGGACCTTAATCTCAGCTCTCCAGGGTGGGAAGAGTCAGCTTCCTGGTCATTCTGGTTTTAGCTCCCAGCTCCTTCCCATTCTTTCCAAACCTGCTTTAATGCTAGGGAGCTCCCAAGGCAGGAGGAGGGAYCCAGTGCAGGCTGCAGCACCTCTCACTGTCAGCTGTGCCCAGCTCAGTCATTTTCTGTGTGATTTTGGAGCAGGAACAGTCTGGGGAGTTGATCTGAGTTTATAAGCTGCCTTAAATCATGATCCAGCTGTACTATATCAAGGACAATCACATTCATACAAAGAAACCTTGTTTAAATATTTGTCTAGAGGACTGATTTTTTTTTTTGGTATATTTCTTGCTGAAGGAAGCACTTAATAAACTGGATCTTGTTCCTCAGAACATGTGTTATTACTCTGGCCTGAATGAAAGGTCCTGGTGGGCAGCTAAATCAGTGGTTGGCTTCAACCCACAGCTGATTTGAGCTGCTCCAGTCCCTACAGAGCTGGGGCATAAGCTGTGAACCCATGGCCCAGGCGCTGGGCTGGCTCTTTCCTTGGTGTCCTGCTGCAGTGCAGGCTGCTCTGCAATTTTATAGCACAGCTGAGGGTGAAGTGTAGGGCAGGTCACCCACCTTCAGCCCTGCCTTGGGCCAGGCTGCCACTGCTCAGACACTCCTCTTCCCCTCTGCACATTCAGTTTGGCAGAGCCCAAGGACCTTGCGAGCCCACGCAGGGCTGCAGGGAGCTGGAGTCAGGGCCCCTGTGCTCCAGTCACCGGACACAGGGGCTTGTCCCATCTCTCGTAGGTCAGGATAAAATGCTTCCCCAGGACTCACAACAAAGTTATCACTTTATTCATAGCACCGTTCATCTGAGGAGCTCCACACCATTTGGCTTCATGCCTCCCTGTGCAGCAGGGCTTTGCCTTTCCCCCAAGGGACCACCTAGCTTCTGTGACTGCCTCCAAGGCACTGTGAGAACACCAGCACCCAGGCGCACTGCCAACCCACTGCCACATTAACTGTCAGTAAGAGGCAGGGATGTGTAGTACAGAGGGAGTAAACACCCCGCAATGGCCATGTCCTTCTCTGTGTCTGCAATCAACCTCACCGCTCTTGATGAAATTTGGGCTAACCAAGTCCTATGGCGTCCCCTCTTCTCCTTGGAGAAAACTTCAGCGTCACATTTGCACAGGCAAGCAGCACCATCCTGTGAGACCAGCAGACATGCTACATCCCAGCACAGGGTAAGGACAGCCCTTGAGACTGGGGCGTGTATCTCAGGTCTCCCTGCCCCATTTCCAGAAGAGGGAAGAAAAAATAAGCCTGCTGTACAGCAGTAGCAGCACTGGAAGGTACTGGCCCTGGGAGGCACAATGTGGAGGGGCCACTGCCACCTCACGCACTCAGGGGTGCGGTTACAAAGCTACAAAGGGAGAGGTTCTTCCTCACCCCTTTGCCCTGGACCAAGTCAAGGAGTTGATTCAGAAGCCAGAGGGCAAGTGTGAAAYTTGCTTTTTCTACAACTTGAGTGTGGAATACTTTGGGTTTAATAGGGGATTAAGGGGCAACTTTCAAGCTAACACCCAACCTGGCAAGCCTACTTTGCCCAGGCCAGTATTTATCTACTCTAAAGTGGAGTCACTGCAGGGCTGGTGTCCAGGGTGCCCACTCAGAGGAGGCAGCAGGCCCGGAAGAGCAGCATCCCCTCTGTCGAGGAGAGGTGGAGGGAGATGCTCTCGTTGGCGGAGATGAACACCACGGAACCACGGTGCAGAGTCATTTCAGATGCAGCAGCTGTGGAGGTACCTACTGCTGTTCCTTGGATCACCAGCAAGATGCTAGCAGAGTCCACAGCAGAGACAAGGTACAGCTTGATAGAGGAAGGAATCTGCAAGAAGAACAGCCGCTGTGGCATGCCAATCCTCCGGCAGCTTTTCTGCCCTTCTGAGAACTGGGAAGGGCTTTCCTCATTCCCACCCTGTGGGCTCCTCTTGCTGCATCCAGGCCACTCTCAGCCTGGCTGGGAAGGATGCAACTTTCCAGCAAGCTTCCCTTTCASCACGTGTGCTCCTTCCTGCACACACCAGCCTGCAGCACCACTCCTTGAATCCCCCAAACCACGATTCAGCTCGTGGCAGAGCCCCTTCGCCTCTCACCTCTATCCTCATGAGCGTGAAGTCTGGCACAGGCGGGTCGTAGAGGTAGACACTTGGATCGAGCGGGCTCTGAGTGGCAGGGAAGATCTTGGAGCTGCTGGGTGCTGGTGTATAGTTGAGCATCTCACACAAGGTGAGCACGTCGATGAACTTGGAGGTGAGTCCAGCTCGCACAGTGTTGTCTGAGCATGCCATCAACTCAACACAGTCTGCAGGGGAGAGAGCTCCTTGTCAGCCCACCCAGGAGCCCTCCCGCTCTGCCATAKCCTAGAAGGATGCAATGCTACACAACTGTGCAGGATGCCATGGATACTGTGGCTCTCCCCCTACAAACCCATGAGTGACAGCACAACCTGGCAAGCAACATGGATTCTACTTTGATTCCATTGTGTTCCAGGCTTGGACATGCCCATTYCAAGCGCAGGGGCCAGTGCACATCACCACCCAAGCTCACCTCCATGCAGGTAGGCGTGTGGCTCGTTGGCTCCCAGAAACATTGCCTCCCCYGGCTCTAGCTTCACGAAGTTAAGGAAGTAAATAGTGAAGCAGCCGATGTCCCCTGGGTACTGGGAGTGCAGCCGCAGCAGCAGGTCTCCGTTGCTCCCCGACACGTCCTTCCCTTCAGCAGCTGCAGCAGGGAGAGCAAACACAGCTGAGTGACACCTTGAAATCACAGCTCTCTTATGCTGGAGTGTCCTGCAGGGATCCAGGGCTCCCTGTGTCCCCTCTGTCCTAAACACACCCCGGGGCCAGGCAGCCTTCCCTGGAGCCCATCTTGGCCAAGGAAGCAGAGCGCGTGCGCAGCAAGTGCTTGCGGGCAAGCAATGCAGTGAGCACCAACAAGCAGAGCCGGAGGGGTTAATATGCCACCCACGTCCAGCCGGCCTCCGAGGGCGCAGAAGGAATTCTGCGTACGCTTTTCCCTTTATTCTGTGCCTATAAATACGGAAGCCACTCTCCAGCCTTGGCTGGCAGCTCCTTCCAGTTGATTTTAGCTGGGTAATTCTTGAAGCAGGAGCACTGGAGACCAACGGTGTTGGTTGCAAGCTCTAGCGTTATTCCCAGGCCAGAGTCTGGCTCAGAGARGAGCTCTGGGGACCAGGAGCACTCCTGAAGCATTGTCATCTGCTTCCAAGTACTCCATCCTCATCCCCACAGACCCTTCCCAACACCCATCTCGACAGCCTGGATATCCCTGCAGACCAGCAGCTGGCAAGCAGAGCTACATGTGCTACAGTCTGACAGCTCCAGGCACCAGAGAGGCTCCAGACTCTACAGTCCCAGGCAGGCAGGCAGCCAAGAGAGGAGAGCAAGGACAGACAGGTGCTTCAGGACACATGTCCCCACACAGCCCATGCCAAGTTGGGCRCTGGCCAGGGCACTTCTTCCTCTAGGGTGGGAGGACGCGAGTCTGGGGCCACGCTCACCACCAGGGAAAGAACTGACCTTCCTGGGAAATCCTCTTCACCAGCATGTTGAGCTGGTCCACAAAGAACTTCTTCTCGCTCTTCATCACGCGGGTGAAGCAGACACGCAGGGCGGCAGACACGCCGCGGGGGTCGTTGCTGACGCTGCGCTCCAGCTGCTCTGCAGCCACATCACCGATCAGCGCCCGGAGCTCAGGGACACCTGAGGGGATGGGCAGTGCCAGCATGAGCTGGGGCAGGGCCGCCCCTTGTCCTTCTGACCGCAGAGCCCCCTGCCCCATCGTGGTGCTCCCAAGGTGTCCCGTCACCCCGAGTCTCTGTCCCTTACTCTGGAGGAAGGACACGATCTCCTCGACGGGCCGGAAGCCGCAGAGCCCCTCGAAGGGAGTCAGAGCGATGGCCATCTCAGGCTTGTGGTTGGTGTCCGGGTAGTGCTCAGGGAACTGGGCGTGCAGCTTGGCCGCCAGCTCCTGCGAAGGGGGACAGCAACCAGGTGGGCTCAGGTGGGACCATGTGCCTCACCCCATCAGCCATGTTGGGCGCCCCCTCCTACCTTGCTGGGATGCGCCTGGATGGAGAGGGCCGTGTTGACCGACAGCACCTTGAAGAGGAAGGGCAGGCGGCCGCCAAAGGTGTCCTTGACCTTGGCGCCCAGGCAGCTGGGGTTGTCGGCAATCCATTGACTCAAGGTCTGCTGACCGACGCGGTTGTCCCGGATCACGGCATCACCCTTGGGGTGGGCGCCCATCCAGAGCTGGTGAGGAGCAGAGGCGATGGTGCCATCAGCACCAGGGACGCGTCACCGTCACACAAGGGGAATGCCTGGCATGACTGGCTTTTCTCACAGTCGTTTGGCCCTGGATGCAATCAATACAGCCAAGGGAACCGCTCGCCTTGCCTGAGCCTTGAGGCTGAGTCACAGCCTGTTCCTCTCTCCTTTCACCCACCCTGGGCTCCTCCAAGATCAGGGGATGGGTCCTGGAGCCAGGACAGGCCATGCTGGGAGGAGGCTGCTCCCCCACCACGTTGATACTCAACATCCCACCAAGGTGTGCGCGAGGTCCCACATCCCTTCTCAGCCCTAGCACCATACAGCACCGAGGAAGACGTGGGCACTCACCTCRGCATAGGGCCGGTCGGGCTCAATGTGGACCAGGGGGTCGCTGCTGGCCACCAGCTTGGCCACCTCACTCTCCAGGCCCAGCTTGCCCCAAGCATAGCTCTGCATCACGCCAGCCAGCGGGAACACTGCGCGGAGGGGCGAGACATCACGCGGGGACAGCAAGGCAGCCCATCACCCGCCCGACCCCGCACACAGGCGCTCTCTGGGCAGGACCCAGCTTCCCGTCTCCAGGAACCACGACCTCGGGATTTCGGGAGGTGGTGATGCAGGAGGGCCCCCATGCCTCGTGCCCGTCCCCCGGGGTTGGCCTGGCCCTCCAAGGGTGCCAGCCCCGCAAGGGTCCCCGATCTCCGCGCCGACCTGGCCTCCCGAGCCTTCCCCTCTCCCCCCGCATTCCCGAGGTCGGCTCGGCCTCCCGCTGTCCCCGCGCGGGTCGCCGCCCCCCTTTCCCCCGCGCCCTGCCGCGGGGCGCGGGCTCACCGCGCAGCTCCGCCATGGCTGCTCGGTGCCGCCGGGCTGCTCGCGCGGGGCCGCGGCGCTAGGCCATGGCAGCAGCGCCCCCGCGGGCGCCCTACCGGGGAACCGTTAATGGCGGGCCGCAACCCCCACACCTGCCCGCCCCGCCCCCGCGCCCACGTCACCCGGCCACGCCCCCGAGGGGGGCCAGGGCGCATGCGCCGCTGCGCTCACAGCCCCCCCTCGGGGGAGCGGTCCGTGGCGAGGTCGCGCATGCGCGCAGGCTGCCCCGGAAGTGCCCGGCGGGAGGGGCGGCGGCGCCCCCATGTCGGCCTTCGACACGAACCCGTTCGCCGACCCGGCGGAGCTGAACCCCTTCCAGGTGAGCGCGGCGCGCTCCCCACACGGCCCCTTCCTCCTCCTCCGCCGCCGCCCGCGGGACGGGGCCGTGAGCGACGGCGCGTGGGCCGGCGGCCGCGCCGGGGCCGCGCCTCACGGCCTGTCCCCCCGCTTCCCAAATCCCGCTTTCCTCCCGTTCCCTCGCATGGCCGCGCCCGTGCGGGGCTTTATCGCCGCCCCCGCCAGCTCCCGGGCACGGCCGCAGTGCCGCCGTTGCCGAGCAGCCCCTCGCGGTGACGGCTCCTTGTTCCTCCGCTTTGTGCTTCGCTCGAGYTTTCTCTTGCGCAGTCCGCAAGGCTTCCCATCCCCAGCGTCTGCCGCGCAAGGGTTTGCCTTTTGGATGTGAGCACCAGGGATGCCTTTTCCTTGCCACGGGCGCTAGGTGCGCTTTGTGATCTGCAAATCCATGTGGAAATAGGGAAATTCACCTCTCGAGTATATTTTGTTCAGTGACCGATGAGCTTGGTGTAAAATAAGCTCTTTTGATCTCATTGAAAGTACATTTTTTCCCTTTTCCCTGTGACATGTTCCACCTGATGATTGGTGGCAGCGAGGGATGACTGATACCTTCATTTCTGTTTTTCTCAACCCAGTTGAGAGCAATTGCTGCAGATTTAACTGGGTGCCCTGGCAAGTTAGAGCTCCTGAAAGGAAGGAGTGCTTGCTTCCTCATGGGAAGGCCCTGCCGGGTAGGGAGCATCCCTGGAACACAGCAAGCCTGGTTTCCTTCAGTCCCCAAACCTTCGCACTACGTAACAGCAACATGGGCTCGTTTGCGAGAGGATCAGGTCCCTGTTGGTTTTAGTTTGCAAAAATGACCTGAAGATGTGAAGCTGGTGGGTAACTTCCGTTTGCTTGCAAAGCTCCTTTGTTTCTCATGCCTACCTGTCCTTTAAGCTGATGCCTCTGTATTAACAGCTGCTATTTTTCTTCTCGTACTTCCTAGGGTACAAAAATCAGTGTTCATGCACACTTCAGCATCATCTCAGATTCCCCATGCTTTATATATTTTTGTTTTACTTGCATAACAACATGCAAGTTGAGTTGAGCTGTCCTTGCTTGGTAGCACTGGCTAATTTTTTATATATATATAGATAGATAGATTTTTTTTTTAAGTTATGGACTAAGATTAGAGGCCATCTCCCCTTAAAATCAGACCTTTCTGCAGCTRTTCTGTAAAAGCAAAGTTAATCTTCCTATTCCAGCTGTTACCCCAGGACAGCACTGTTCTCTGCCCTGCTGCAGGCGCTGGCATTGTGTCCTTCTGAAAGGCAGTGTGCTGCTGCTGAGCCTCATGGAAGCTCAGGGACCTCCTTGTTTGCACCAGGATAGTGATGGGAAGAAAAAACTGTATTTTCCTGGGTATTTCTCTGTATTTATGAGCCCGTTTCCACTTTCTGTCTGTACAAGAGCTTGTGTTGGAAGCTGTCTTGAGTTGTCTCCAGCACTCGCTAAACAGGCCAAGCTAAAGCCTCCGGTGAGTGTAAGAGGTTAAATGCAGTAAAACATGTGCCCTGAGCTCTTGAGGTCCGTATTTCCAGGATGCTGGTCCTGCCACTGCCCACCACTTTTTACAGCCTTATCTGGCCAGGGATTTGCACTTCCTCGAGCAGCACCAGCACCCTCCCCTTCTTTGTGAACCCTTGCCCCAGGGTGATTCATGAGCTAGTGCAKCCTGTTGCCTGGGAGTGCCCCATATGGAGAGATGGGTGATGTTACACATTAACCCTTCTGCGTGGGTCTTGTTTGGAGCCTGCTGACTTTCCTGGAGCACCTGCAGCCTTTACAGACCTGAATTCCTGACTCTGCCCTCGTTTCAGCCTGCAATTGCTTCTTACCCCATTAACCACAGGACTGGAGCGACTGAACACAAGATCTTAGTTGCTGCAGGAGGGAGGAATAGCAAGTCACTTTTACTTGAACGTGTGTAAAAGATATAAAGTAGTTAACCACATTGCAGGAGAGAGAGGAAAGGCACTTTGGGTAGAAAATTTGATGGAGAGGATCAGGAGATGATGCGAGTACAGCAGAGCACAGCTGGCGTGTCAGCAAGTCAGGCTAAAACCTGCCAAAGCAATTGAAGCGCTATCCCTACCTCGGTTTTCATAGCTGTGTTGCCAGTGACTGCTCCCAAAAGCTGGCTAGTCCCAGTGCTATAGGTGTCAGCTTGGCCACTGCAAAGGCCACTTATACTTGAAGTGCATTTTGTGATTCTCTGTTGTGCTTGGAGGAGCCGTATGTATTCTGTGACACAAATGAGGTTTGGGAGGTAGAARCAATTTCCAGCTGTCATTTGGTAAAAGCCACTGGATTGTGTGGTCAAAGTGAGTTGTTGCACCCTGGAGAAGTGGTGCCTTGACTGAGCAAGGCCCAGAGTGCCTGACTGAAAGAATGTGTGTCTTGGGGGATAGTTAACTTTGCAATACTTGGGTCCCTATGTGCAGAAGGAGAATCACTGAGACCCTGCCCTCCTAGGAGGACTGAAAGATGGGAAGCGTTCAGGGGCTGCTGTCCTTAATTCATCTTTCTACCAAGGAGATTCTGGGTCCTCTTGGGTTTAGTGCATGCACAAAGGAACCAATGTCTTTCCCCACCTAGTCTAGAAGTGTTGTCAGTTAAGGTCATCTGCCCGTGGCAGGGATGTGTTTTATCTTGGTTCTCCTGTTTCCAGGGAAAAATCAGATGTGCTTTTGCTTACTTCCTACAGTGGAGGAAAGAGAGGCAGAGCAGGTAATGTGTAAGCTCGTGATCACTCACATCCAATACTGACCTGTCTTTGATCTCTCTTCTTCCAGGATCCCTCGGTGACGCAGCTGACAAATGCTAACCAAGGCGGCTTGGATGAATTCAACCCATTTTCTGAGAGCTCCCAGCTGGTATGTGTGGTCCATGTTTGCCCTAATTATCTCAGCAGTGGGTTTAGCAATTTAGAATATCTCTTGGTAGGTGCAGCTCAAAAGAGAAAAAAAAAAAAATGAATGAGGCTCTGGCAGCTGATGTCCCCATGGACGACAGCTTTTTGCATGTGTGGCAAGCTGCAAGTGAGAGCTCCAGCACTCAAGCACACGAATTCCCAGCTGGAGTTCTCCAGTCATACAGAACAGTTTCTCTCAAACTTGCACTGATTTTACTGGCTTGCGGGAAAGCCGTATGAGGTGTGAAGAAGGAGATGCTTTGTAGCAGGAAACGTCAATATTGATTTGGTTTCTGCGCTGGGAGCTGAACAAGAAACAGGCACACAGCAAGATTTGCAGTTTAAACAACTGAGCAGAACCTCTTGCTGTTACTCTTTGGCTAATACSTGTAATCTTGTGTGATTTCTCTGGGGCATTAAGGAACTAACATATTTCGGAAAACATAGAACTACTTCCTGCTAGTTGGTCCCTGTGCTTCCAGCTTTAGCAGTGCTGAAGTTTAACATTTCTTTTCTGGTGGAAACAATATGCCATGCTTTTCTCTTGTCGTTCTYGGTTTGCTTATACCCAGACAAATGCAGCACGGACGATGCCTGCAACGCAGCTCTCTGGCCCCTCGCAACCTGCAGTTCTGCAGACGTCTGTGGAACCCACTCCACAGGTATGGCAACCCCCTTTGCTGCGCCCTTCCCAAAGAGCTGGGCYGGGGATCGTGGGGGAGATCTCATTTGCCTTTCCTAAACACTTGTGGGAATAATAGGGAATGTGAGTTTGTGCGGGGTTGTGTGTGGGAAGCAGCAGGTGATCACCCTGGCTTCTCTTTTGCCRCATGCTCTAGGTGACCCCGTGTTTGCAGGGGGGTTGGACTACATGACCTCTAGAGGTCCCTTCCAACCTTCAGGATCTATGATTTTTATACATCTTATGCAGTAGATCTCTGTGGGCAATATATAAATGTAATTTGGCTTTTCCCTGTTCCTCAGGTGGCAGAACTAACTTAGCCTTGTATTCTATTTGTCCTGGCTTCGCTCCTCTAAAGCTGCCTAAAATGTAACCTGTTAATASGTTTAGTATAGTTCCAGTGGCTGGTCCGACACGCTCGGTCGCAGGAGTGTAAATGCAGACTAGTTATATGTTGCAGCTGCTGCTTAGACAGGCCAGCAAGTACCTGAGCCCCAGGATCACCTCATCCAAAGACAACTCGGAGAAGCAGAGGCTGCTAGGAGAGAACTCCAGTTCTCAGARTAGCAAGCAGGTAAAAGAGATCCAAGGGAAGAATATGTGGTGTAAAAAGAGGAGGAAGTGCTACCTTTTCTTTCTTTTGAACCTCCTCTGCTCGCTGGGAAAAGGATTCCCTTGGTAAACTCAGGAGTCGTTTTCCTTACTATGTGTTTTAAGGTGTCACTTGCCCTGTTTCCTTGAGGCCACAGCCAACTATGTGTRTTGTAGACTGGTTTCTGAACGCTACTGTTCAGTGTGAGAGCAAACAGAGCAATTCTAGTGTGTCCTGTGTGATCTTGCATGCTTTGCAGCTCAAACAGGTGAATCTTAAGTGAACGTCTCGAATCAGAATGGAATAATACTACTAGATTTTTTTTTTTCAACTAGCACTGAGAGATTAAAGGATCTTCTTGAAAGCCAAGTATGTGAGGGACCAAAAAAAAAAAAAAAAAGGAAAGATGGATTCAAGCCTGTAGGATGAATGCTTTGTCAGAAACAAAGAAAGCTGAAGTCTGGACCAGTAAAGAGATCCAGGGTGTTAAGGCTGATCTAGAGGTACTTGCAAGACTTTGAGCCTGCAGATGTGGTATTGTCTTCCGGGAACTGATAAGAGGATGAGGAGGTAAGTGCCTTGAAGTGGAAGATGGGTGTGGAGTGTTGGAAGTCACTTATAACAACGAGGCTAACTAGGAGGTGGAAGAATCAGCAAGGGAGGATATGCCTGTGCTGAAAGGGAAAGGCATGGAGGACAGGCCACAGATCATATAACATCTTGAGGACTCTTTGAGTGCTGTCTTCCTGTGGGGTAAGAGAGGAATGCCTGGAATTCTGTGTTGAGCTTAATTAAGTCTTCTCTAACAGGTAAGGCAGCCACAAGGATTTAGCTTGCTAATTGTCCGTAGTCTTTGCTGTAGAATTGCCTCTGCCCATGTTCCCAGTTGGCATCTGTGTATTTACTGGCAGGCATTACTCTTGTCATGGTTAGGGAAACAGTTACCTTTTTCTCCCACTGTTTTAGGCTGTGGCTGCAGCCGCTCAGGCCGAACTCCTTCAGCAGCAGGCAGAATTAGAAAGGAAGGCAGCTGAGCTGGAGAAGAAGGAAAGGGAATTGCAAAATCATGCAGCTGGCATTAATCGTAAGTAGTGTTTTCTGCCCTGTCTGCAGTGAATATATTTGTCCCTGCATGCATCAACTTTTTACGAGTCGTGTGTCTGTCTTGTCCATCACACCTGTGGCAACCTTCTTGGTACTCTGCCTCTGTTTAGATGTGGCTACCTATTAAGATTTTTCTTAATYGGGCATATTAATCTTTTCACTGACATACAGGGGACTCGGTGCACTTGCCTGTAGAGGGCACTTTATGCTACCAGAACTCGATGCTTTTTGCCAGACTTGAAGCCTTTTATTTTTAATTGTGGAAAGTGGCTAAGGCTGTGTGTTCTGGATGCCTGCCTCAGGCTGAGCTTGCTTTCAGACCATCCAAGCAAAACCCGATATCTTCTGGGACATGGATGGAAATCCCTGTACTGGCCCTTTGGCAAAATTAATTTAATTACAATTTGGACTCAACGTATGAGGCAGGCAGTCTTAACCAGGACAACACAGTGTATCTTTTCCTCTATCATTAGTTCCAAGTAGTTGAAACACTGAAGTTGAAATTGTCTTTAACTCTCCACCCAAGGCAAAGTAGGGGAGGAGAGGAAAGGCACCTTCTTGCCGATCTGTCAGTTAAAGAAGTCACTGAATTCTGATGTTGCTGAACCTGAACACCTGCCTTTGCCATATTCATTAGTGTTTTTTGTATGAGCTGTTCTGTTCCCCTCCTCTGAGTGTCTTCTCAGAGCATAGTTAGGCAGTCAATCGCCATGTGCAGCTTGTCCCGCTTTTTTTTTTTCCCCTCTCACTTGAGAAAAGCAGATGAAGAGACTGTGCTAAAGCTGTTCTTTTCAGATGTGTGTTGCTGCACAGCTTGACATGTGCTCTGGACTTGATATTTGTAACAGGTTAACTAAGGCAGGGAAATTCTGTCTCCTGCAGAGGCACACCTTCAGAAACTAGGCTGCCCCTTCTCACTGATTCTAGCAGTAAAACAGCCCTCCTCTGCCACCAGCACAGACCTAGCCAGACCTGGCATCTTCCAAAGTTTCAGTGTCAGTATATGTGAACTGCTGCTTGTAAATCTTGGCATGCCAATGAGTCTTTCAGTGTAACAAGTGAAGAATTGCTCCTTATTCTTTTTGCAGCGAGACAAAATAATTGGCCACCTCTTCCCAAGAAGTGTCCAATCAAGCCATGCTTTTACCAGGATTTCTCTGCAGACATCCCAGCTGACTACCAGCGAGTATGCAAGATGCTGTATTACTTGTGGATGTGTAAGTAGCAACTCATGACTGCAACAAAAGTCTTTTCTAAGAAGTTTCCATATCACATACTGAATTTTGCCCTAAAGTTAATTCTGTAGATGTTGTCTGCAGGGGTAAAATATTGCAGAATATAAAAATTGATGGCAAAGATTTAAGAGTTGGATGTATGTAGCAGGATTAGATGAGATTTTTAAGTTAAGCTCCAACCTCCTTTCAAGTGAAAGAAGGAAATTAGATGGCCCAAAGTCTCCCCAGTGTCTGCAGAGCTCTGTGTTCAGTGAGAAATTAGAGATACTTAGTAGATTTCTGTGAATTTTCCAAGAATTTGCTAATGTTTCTTCTTTCTTCCTTCCCGAACAGTGCACTCGGTTACCCTGATCCTAAACTTGCTTGCTTGTTTGGCATGGTTCACAGTCAAGCCAGACAGAGGAGTAGACTTTGGTCTCTCMATCTTGTGGTTTATTTTATTCACCCCTTGTGCCTTTCTGTGTTGGTACCGACCAATTTACAAGGCTTTCAGGCAAGTACTGGTTTTTTTTTTTCCTTCTTTGTAATGGAGCTTTTAGTGGGAGGGCCTTTTGTTTTGTCTGTTCCTACTGTATACCGCCTGAAGGATTTTTCCAGCTCTTTACATTGTTAAATAGATCAAAACCATTTGTTCCCAAACATCAAAAGGATGGCATTTGATGGAACTTGGCTATGGTGGTCCTTTTTGTCGTAATATAATGGCATAGCCAGTCATAGGGTCTTACTTTTTATGCGTTTTAAGAAAACTGGTTGGTACATTAATGTGCATTAATGTGCTCTTTACATTAAGGAAGTTTTCTTCACCCCCTCTCTTGCACTGGAAAACTGGTGGGRTTGCAATATGCACTAAGCATGTTGCAAGTTCTGTTGCTACATGACTTCTTCACAAAATTGCCATCCTTTTAGCAGCTTTTCCATGGCAGGGGTGGTTCACTGAAATGATTCCCCTTTAGAAAAGAGAAAATAAGTACAGGGATCACGTCCCAGGGCTTAACTCCTGCTGCCTTCTCTCTTATAGGTCTGACAGCTCCTTCAGCTTTTTTGTCTTCTTTTTCATCTTCTTCTGCCAAATAGCAATCTACATTATCCAGGCTGTTGGCATTCCTGGCTGGGGAGACAGGTAAGCTTGACTTAGCAGACTGGTGTGTCACAGCCCCTCACCACTACTTTCTCAACAGCACTGTGATTAGCAGAAGCTTTGGGGTCCTTTGCTCCTCTCTTTCTGAAAGATGTCTGTTCTTTCTTCCATGTTTCCTCTCTCGCCTGGTACGTAGCTTTGGCAGATTTCAGCTGAGGTGGTTCTCTTCTCCACTCTTCCTGTCCTAGTGCAAGCAAAGGCATGTACTTTCTCTACTACCATTGCCTGCCACTGCAGAAAGGAGTGTATGGGCTCGCCCACTCCTCTGTTGTCTTTCTCCTCCCTTAATATTTTCTCAGCAATTCTTTGTCCTACATGTTTCTTGCCTCTTTTTGATGCCAAGTCTCCACTGTTGACCCGGTTGTCTTGTCTTAAAATGGAGCCTCCTCTGATGGAGGCTGTGTGTGTAACACGGAGGTGAGGAACCTGTGACCCAGAGACGGGATACAGCTGAACTCCACACTGCTGCCAGCAGCTCAGTCATGKCCCTGTGCTCTTCCTGAATTTCTTTAGTGTGCTGCCAGTGGCCTGTTCTTTGGCAAGTCCCCTTAGTAAGGACTCTGCAAAGAGATTTTTCCTRTGGACCTTGCTTGTATAGAACAGTAAATGCAGGTTTCTGGAGGTGGGTCCAACAGGCCTCCTGTCAGCAGCTGCCCATGRCAGTGGAAGCACCAGGCTCCTTTTCACCTTGCTGCGTTGGCTGTGGAYGAAATTCAGAAGTTACTGGAGCGCTTCTGAGGAACAGTGAGACAGCTAGCAGTTTGTTCCTGAGGAGAACCTTYGGGTGACGAATGCAATGAAACCATGGGCTATTTTTACCTACTGCTTGCAGCAGAGCTTATGGGCAAAGCTGTGCTCATGCTTGTGCCCTCTCTTCCCTGCTGTCTTAGTTGGGGGGACTGGGAAGGGACACTGCATTTTCAGTCTGGCTTTGGGGAGAGTATGCATTGAACTCTCTTCTACGTCTCCTCAAGCCAGACAGTGACATTTATTTCTGGCTGTAGTGCATAGTGTGCATTTCCACTTCCTGCTAATGAGCAAGAAATTGCGCAGCAAGTGAAGGGAGCCAAACTGTCCTGCACGATCCCTCCTCTCCTGGCAGAACATGGTTTGCTCAATTTAGCAGTCAGAGAGATTCTGTTCTCCAGAATGGCAAGAGGGTGTTTTAAGCAAGGTGTCTTGGCATTTTCACTCGCAGCTGAGTGCYGATAAGTCCCAGAAATCTTCTTTCCTCTTCACTTCAACAACTGCCAGTTCCTAAGGAGCTTTTTCTGTAGCTCCTGGCTCTATTCCTTCCTTCCTCTTCCTCTCCCYCCCAACATTTGCATCCATGGCCAGGCGAAGCTGTCGTGATCACACATAGATCTTAGGCTTCAGATCTACCAGCTTCCCTTCAAATTCTCAAATGTACCAGCCTGTCTTTACAATACTTGGCTAAATTTTGGGAAGGTGTTTTGTCTGTTTAGGTAACTTAATTTATGAGGGTACTAATCCTACTGATTTGTGGTGATATCGGAGCTAGAGCTGTAATGCAGGTAGGGTGAGCATGGTGCTCTGGTGTAGGATGCTAAAAATCTATCACACGGTGAGAGATTGCTTCCCAAAGTGTTGATGGAAATCCCGTCTCAGGCAGAAGTGTCTGACAGAGCTCTGGGTCCCCCTTCCCACAGCCATTATGTGTGATTTTTGTGCTTCGCTATAGCCTTGACCCAAAGGTTCTTGCACAACTGTCAGTGATGCTTTTCCACTTGATCTTCTTTGTGCAAATGCTTGGTGTGTGCCTTGTACTTGCTTTAAAGTGTACTCCTAACTGAAAGATGAGGGTGGGTAGAGAATCCTCTGGCTCTTCTAGAGGCTTCTCTAGTATATGGCATGTTTGAAGGGGCTTCCTAATGCATGAATGTGAAATCAGGCATCTCTCCCATGGCCTGACTGTCCTTATAGCACGTCCCTTTGTGGTCACATTGAATGATTCCAGTGAATCTGATGCTTGTACCGAGTCCTGACTCTGTGTGTGTGCTGTCCTTGGAGCCTGGCTGTGCTCACATCGCCCTCCCTCTCTTCCAGCGGTTGGATTGCGGCTCTGTCCGAGCTGCGGGATAACCTGGCTGTGACGGTTATCATGATGGTGGTGGCAGGATTCTTCACGCTCTGCGCAGTTCTCTCGCTCTTCCTCCTGAAGCAGGTGAGCTGCTCAGAGGYGAGACCGGGGCAAGGTCCCAGATGTCACTCTGGCCAAGCACAGATCCAACRTGAAGTATCTTGCATCTCCCTTTGGAACTTACGGGTCTGGGCAAATTTGTTGAGTGTGCTGGCCGAACAGGGAAGGCAATTTCTTTGCTCTGGCATTCATGACTTTAAAAATCACTGCAACATTAGGAGGCTGTGCAGCACCTGATGGGGTATGAAATGACATCTTYCCTCTAGTCTCCAAAAACAAGCCACTCTTCTTTGTGGCCTACACATGAGGGTTGTATTTCTGCATTTAACAGCAGCAATCTACATAGCTTTGAAGGAGGCAAGGAGGGACTGAGATGGGCCTGCTTCCTCTTCTGCATTGTTTTGAAGAAAATACCTGGCCCCTTTGATCCAGGTGCTTTCAGATTTTGCCCCAGGAAAATGCAGGGGTTAAGTGTCCCTGCATCCCAGTAGGAGATGGGAGTTTTGAGCTTGGAAATCTGCATTTTGCAATGCCTGAGAGTCTCCTGAAGCTTCAGTGCCATATGCCGGGTGAGGTGGAGCCACCTGCATCCTTTTTTTGCTGGTGAGCGAGACGTGCAGCAGCAAGATCGCTGGCCTTCGTGGACACTTTGAGCCTGACTCATTCCTTTTCCATTCACCAGGTGCACTCTCTGTATCGGCGCACAGGAGCCAGCTTCCAAAGAGCCCAGGAAGAGTTTTCCCAAGGCATCCTCACCAACAGGGGCTTCCAGAACGCGGCGGCCGGCGTCGCCTCCTCGGCGGCGCAGGGGGCTTTCCGGGGGAACTAGCCCGTTGCATGGGGGTCTCCGCCTTGCTTCCTCTCGCATCGTGACCCCAACTTTCCTTTTCTAAAGAAGCACTTTCTGCGGGTACCACGTTAGCTCTGTGATGCTGACTCCAGATGAGAAGAGATCTCTTTTTTTTTTTTTTAAAAGCTTCAGCTGGCCTACATTTATGATGGTTAGGTTTTCCTTCTGTGTTTTAGGGTATGGGAAGATAAGAGACATTCTCTAAAGCAAATACATTTCTCCTTATCCAGGACAATGTCAAGTGTTTGTCTCACTTCCTCTGCTTGCAGCAGAAAGGTGAAGGGAAACAGGTTTTTGCRGTTTACTGAGTTTTCTAATGGCCTTTGCTATGAAGAATTTGATTATCTACTGATTGAGGAGTTTTGTAACTTGCATGTAGTTTACTTTTAAGAAGAGGAAGTGTACTTTTGGTTYATTATACTTACATGACACGTTTTTGACCTCTTAATGGCTGGGCTTCCTGAGAGTCTGGGCAAGGTGATACAAAAGAGGAGGTGGGAGCAAGCGGGATTAGAGAGAAGGGGGATTTTCATGGCCTTCCTGTGTTGCCCATCTCCTGTCCCCTTCCCCAAGGATGCCATGGACCCCTGGAGTCCCGTGGCTTTTCCTGGCATTTGTTGCCATTGGATGTGCAGGGAATGGCTTGGTGGGAGCTTGGCCCTTGCCACAGCCTCAAACCTGGGCAAGGAGGGATGCGGGCTTTCCTTTCCTGAGCAGCATTCAGAGCAGCCAGCGGTTTTGTGAGGAAAGTTGGAGGACCAGGAGTGCCTGTATCCAGCACCAAGTGAGGGAGCCTGGAGTCGGGGAGAGGGAAGCCCCGGGGAGTGAGCAGAGCCGCTTGGCACAGGGCGTGCTGTAGGTCTTATCCAGTCTGCTCCCCTCCTTTTCCAAGCTCGGAACACTATTCCGTACCTGTGCCATTCATCTCTGCTTCCCTCTCCACTGAAAGCTTGTCCTGAAGCATGCATTATTTTTTTTTTTTTCCACGAGGATAGCTCCTCCCCGCTCCTTCCCAGCTGGGGCAGCATCGGGCATGTTTTGGTGGCAGAGCTGTCGGGGCCGAGGGCACGAGTGTGGCTGGAGCTGTGGGCTCCGTGTCCCCTGGAGCTGCTTTTGTCACCGAGGTGACTTTCAAAGAGGGGGGCAGGAGGGATGCGGGGACACGGGGGTGGGTACCCGGCTTGGGGGGAGGTGTCCTCCTGGCAGCGGGAGGTGTCTGCTGCGTGGTGCAGCCCTGCTGCCTCGTGTCCCCGTGGTGTCCCCAGGCGAGGGGCTGCGGACGAGCGGAGGGGAGCGGGGCTTGGACCCTTTGTTTTGCTGCATTGTTCCCCCCGCCTGGCCCCTATCCTGCTGCAACCCTGCGATTCTTCTTCTTTTTTTTTTTTTTTTCTCTTTTT